AGCCCATGCAGAGAGTCCTGGAGCTAGATGGCCCTGCAGAGTTGTCCTTCCCTGGAGCAAAGGGGCCAGGCCTTTACATCCTTCAGGGCCTAGTCACTGCATTTGGGCTTTCCCGGGGAAGGGAACAGCTTTGGGTCCCCTATGAGGCAATTCCTGAAGGAGGAATACAGCTATGAGCCATCCAAAGACAACTGTCCTGGCAGCTGGGGGATAAAGACCTGCATCCTGGAAGGGGTATGTCTTTAAAAAAGTACTGCAGGAGGAGGCTGAGAAGTATATGAGGGAATGTGGGCTCTTCTGAATTCTGGAGCATGAGAGGACTGGCAGGAAGAGACTAGAGAGAGGCTCTCCTGACAGAGACAGACCAGATGATAAGGACTTGAATGCAGGACAAAGATGCAAGGATTTGTCCCTCCTGGAAATGTGTTGAGGAAGATTATTTTGGGGTAGTAAGAAGACCATGCATCCCCTAAGGTGTCTTAATTTCTGAAGTGTCCCTTTGCCTGCCTCCCCTGTAGACATCTCCTAAACTGGCTTGCTCTGGCCAACTCACACATGCCACTGCTCCCCTCCCCCGAATCGGCTCCCTTCAAATTGTCGCTCCCCACAGTGCAGCATTCATGCGTCAGTTCTAAATAGTCCCACTGTTCAGCTTTAACGAGAAGTAATACCAATTCCCATGTTTGCTCAGAGAGCACTATATTTCATCAAACCAGAGCCCATGCCGTCTCAGATTACTGACCGAGACAATGTTCTATAATCCTGGTTTATTCACATGTCACGGGTATTTTAGCAAAACAGAAATGAATGGCCCGAGCCACCCTAGGAAGTAACGGGAGAGTTGGTTTCCCGCCCGGGGGAAGTCATGCTTTCTCCTGCCATATTTCTCAGGAGAGCTGACTTTGATTCTCAGAGTTTTTCCCAACTTTAAGAACGAGAATATGGGCTGAGGAGGAGTTATTTCTCTATAAAATGGGAACTCCACGAATGGATTTTGCCAGAGCAAAAATAAAATCTGTCATTGATTATAAAGTCCTTTGTGCTCGTTATTTCACAGATTTATTACACTCAGGCCCAGAGGCCTGGGGAGGCCCTGGATTTCTTGTCTCTAGCACCCCAGCAGTCGCTTTTTCACAGCTCATGCCCCAGATGGGAACAGGGACTTGCTGGCATTTCTTTTGTCCCAAGAGCCAAGAGCTTTGGAAATCTAGATGAAGAGCTATGAATCATCCTCCCAATCTTTGGACAGGGACCCGCAGACACTGATAATAAAAACTCATTGGTAGATAGAGGTCTATGACTTCCTAATCAAGGAAACATTCTCTTTCCTTTTTATCTTCAACTCTTGGCATGTGTGTTAAGAAATGCATTTCCTCTGCAGAGCAAGGAATGGCCAGGCTGAAACTCTCACCAAATCGCCCATAATCTTTTGAACACACAAGAAATAAAAAGAGCACGAAAAACAAGGAGCAGTGCTACTTAGTACCGGGTCCTGTAAAAACCTCACCAATGATCTTCATAATATCCTGCTTTTGTCCTCATTTTAGAGTTGAAGAAACTGAGGTCCAGAGAAGTCAAGTAACTTACTTGAGGCCATACAGCTTGATAATGGTGAAAAGAGGGACATGGTGAAAAGAGGGACATGAACCTAGTCCCAATTGACTCCAATGGGTCATGTATACCTTCTACTTCAAGAATAGGTTGACATGAGGCAACAGATCCACTTATAAAGTGTGGGAGCTGAAACAGAGGCTACGGGGGCTCCAAAGAAGTGATGTGGCTGGCCCAGGGTGACAGAGCTAGTCAGAGCCGCAAACTGACTCTCCCACAAACTGGCTGGACAACATCATGAAATAATTGCTCAGGAACATTTCATGTTGTATTACTTAGGAAGAGGTTCTGGATGAAACCAAACGAATGTGCTTCTCAGAATTGTCCGAAATTTGCTCCTTTAATCAGGTGTAGAATTTTGTAATGGTCAAGACTCTTCACTCCTTTCTCAGGGTTTGCTGAGCTTAAGGAACCCCTGCTAGCCCAAAATGTGTGGCAGAGAGGTCTGAAAGACTGAAGGTCCCCCAAAACCTCTCACTTCCCTGGAGAGAGCACTCTCCACCTTAGTCTGCAAGTTCAAGACCTCAGCGCCCTGGGCAAGATGAATATCTCATACTTCCAGGACCAGGATAATTTTAGTAGGGAGCTGTCAGAAATCACAGCTCTCAGGACTTGAATCCACAGTCTGCCATCTCAACTTTTATTCTGAGCTGCAGTCTGAGCTATTAAAAACAAAACATTCTCAATGGCAAGCTCCACAATTAGCCTCATTTCCACACTAGAAACACTGTTCTGCATGAACTGAAATTGCACAGCAATTGTTTCTCATCTTAGTGATGCTGTTTGCAGGCCATGCTGGGAGCCAGCGAGGATGTGACCCGGTGGTAATCTGAATTGCTTCACCAAACACATTTTTATCCCATCATCTCGGCTACATAAAAGGCAGCCATAGTGCTCTAGTGTTCAAGACTTTACAGTCCTGCTGTTCAGCAATAAAATGAAGCAAGAAATATTAGCCGTCCCCGGCTGATGCCTTAATTCTTTCCCAACAATGTCAGAGAATCTGTAGCCTACAGGTTTTAGTGCCGCCTAAAGCCTGACCCTCTGGCTAGTTTGAATGGAGAGGGAATGAGTTAAGGAGAGCAAGAAGGCTTTAATGGACACAGATTGAGAATAGCCCAGCTTGTCCCGGCCTCCTGCAGACTCACTCTCCTTTTCACAGGCCTCAATTGTGTATGGCCCCAGCAGAGACAAAACTACCCATGAGCAGGGGTTACCCCCAGCCGGTACAGGTCAGAGGCATTCTGGGGGAGAAGGGGAAAAGGGGGCAGAGGGGAAGTGAGGGGCACATAGAGAAGGAGGGAAGTGGGGGTGGGGTGGGGAAGGGAGCAGTAAAAGATGGTGTGGATCATTTATAAGGAGACTCATCAAGTCCAAGATTGAGACTTGATCATCTCACCTCCAGCAAACCGTTTTTGAAAACTATTTTACAGAACAAATGGGAGATATAGGAACGGGAGGTTGAATGCAATGTGTGCTAATGATCAAAATCAATAAAATTCTCTGTAATTTTCCAAAAGCTACAATCCTGAGGTTCAGAGGCTCTCAATGGGATGGCCTCTAATTTGACACTGCAAGGTTTTTAAAAATTACAAACGGGTTGTGTTTTACACACCAACAGAACCTTTTTCCAGCAATTTTTCAATTATTGCATTGTGAGCCCTCCAAGAAAAGTAGCTATTTTGGCTCAGGAAGCCCAAGTTACCAAGTAAAGGAACAGTGTGTTCACAAGTTTGCAAATAGTCCTTTGAAATGTAGCATGGACAGCATCCTAGACCGGCTGGAAGAACATGGGTTTGAAGCAGTCCTTTCCTTCCCTAAATTTTTTGTGTGGGCCTTGGACTCCTTTCTCAAACTGAGGAAGGGGTACACCCTATCTCAAATATGCCAGGTTATAAAGGAAGTCAATTACATTAAAATAGTTATCAATAAAAATATTTTTTAAAACAACTTTGCAAGAAGTAATATATGTGTCTTTTTAATTAATTCATTAAATAACTAGCAGAAGGTTTAACAACTACTTTAATTTCAGAATAGTGAGGAGCAAAAAAGATATTTTGAGAAATATGAAACAACTCATATGATATGAAAATATCTATGGGTAGTGGCTATTGGTGACAAAGTCACAGGTATGGTTAATACCACTGTGGTTGGCTGCCTGCATTTCTAAGATAGGAAATGCTAAGTTTCAGTTATAGGTAAGTGAAAATAAAGATGTACGTTTTCCCCATCCAAGTTCCTAGATCCCTTGAAATTGTATCTGTAGATTAGAAGCCTGGCTAAAGGCAAAATGAAGTTCAGGACCTTTTGCCCAGGGCTAAGAGGAGTGGCAGTGGGCCAGGGATTCATGACTCCCTCACTTCAGAGTGAAATCTTCTTAGAAAAGCCACTGCTTTCTCGCCTCCCATCTTGACGCTTTGGAAACGTTTTGTAAAGCCATTCGAAACCATGTCCTTTTTCAGGACAGTCCTGAAGACTACATAACCAAAGATTAGCAGAGATCTTTGATGTGTTTCTTCAATAACCAGGATCATGTCGCCGAATCCGGGGTCACCAACTAATTCTTAACTTTAATCAGGATCTCATTCCAGTTGCTTTAGTTCGCTGAGATTTGGGGATAGGGTTTTTCTTTTCAAAGGCTGCCCAGGGAGGGTCCGTGTTCCCCTCACTCTTGCATTTAGGACACACACTGGCTCAGAGGCAACTGGGCGCACAGACATCCCTTCTAGGGTCCTCACCAGGGAGCCGTCATCTTGCAACCACACAGTTATCGCATGCCATTGCAGGGGCAACCCCGCAGGCGGGCCCCCCTCGAAAGACTGCCCAGTTCCCGCGCAGCCCCAGGCAGGCTGCGGCGGCTACACACAGGAGCCGCTCGAGTCGCGGGTCTCCGGCTCTCCGCAGGGGCGCGGGAAGTGCGCTCCACCACGCCCACGCCCCCCACACTCCCGGCCACACATTTGGGCGCACACCCCTGCGCGCGCGCGCCGCCACATACGGGAGCACGCACCCATAGCGGGCCAGGCACGGTCGTGTAAGCTGCGGGCCCCGGTAGTCCGAGACGTGCAGCCGTGTCCCCCCGAGGGCACTGCAGGCTGCCCCGCCCCGCCCCGCCCCTCGAACCCGCTGAGCCCGCCGCACCGTGAGCTGCAAAGTTTCGAGGCGCGAGTGTGCGGAGGCTGCGCGCCAGGTTGAGCTTTGGTCTGCTCTCACAGCACCGGACGGCCGTGACCGCGCGCTTGGCTGGCTGCCCGGCTCTGCCCCGCGCCCCGCACAGCTACTCCGGCTACCCGCGCGCCCTCCAGCCTCAGGGTCGAATCGCAGCGTCGGGTGCGCCCGCTCTCTCTCTTCTCCTTGTGGGCTCTTGCCTTTCACCACCGCCACCCACCATGGCCCTTGGCCCCGCTCGGACCAGCCCAGGACCGGAGCCCCGACTGCTGTCGCTGCTGATGCTGCTGACGCTGCTGCTCCGGAACGCGGGCAGCAGCCACACGGCCCCTGCCCAGTCCATCCCTCCGGCAGCCGCAGATGGCCTGGTGGGGGACAAGGATCCCCAGCGGTTCCTGGGAGACGCGGCTGCTGCTCTGGGCCCGAGTGCCCAGGACATGGTCGCTGTCCACATGCTCCGGCTTTATGAGAAATACAGCCGAAGGGGCCCGCGACCTGGAGCGGGTAACACGGTCCGCAGCTTCCGTCCCAGGCTGGGTAAGTAGATGGGGCCCCGAAGCCTCTTCTTCTCATTCTTCCCCTTCCTCACTTATCCATCCTCCTAGCCTGCACCTCTTCTTTTCTTCTTCCTTCTATTCATTGACTCATTCATTCATTCTTTCATTAACTATTCACCAAGTACTGCTATGCCAGTCCGTGAGCCTCCAGTGTGGACGCGGAAGTGGCACAAAGTTATACTGAGTTCCTGCCCCTGGGGTCCTGCCAAGCCTGGAAGGGTGTCACACCTGCTGGACACAGAACACTCCATACGCAAGGCTTTAAACACAGGATTGAAATGGGACTGGGCTGGGGGAGCTTATGGGTGGGAGAATCTATGTCATAGGGGATCAGTTGTGTTGGTTCTTGACAGAGGAGGAGGGCACTGAGGAGGACATGTCAGATGAGCATAAGACCTGATAGAAATCCCAGGCACTGGGCCCAGACAGAGGGTGTGAACCTCTAGCTGGGGGCAGTTAGTGGGTTCTGTGTCTGGGTAAGCAGAGTGGACTGAGAAGGGCCTTTGGTGCCTAATCTTGGATGCTCAAGACTGAAACCTGTGGGGCACTGGTATGTAGTGCTTAGAATGTGGGGATATGAGGAAGGATCCAGAAGCTTGGGCAGAGGACACCTGAGCAGATCCTTTCCCCTCTTCCCACACCTTGAATAGAGCTGGACAGAGGCTACTTGCACAGCCCTCCCTACCTTGCTCAGAGAGTAGAGTACCACCAGGTTTCAGCCTCAGCTATCTGTCCACCTAGCCTGGGCTACCTCTGTAGGCCCCATGGTTCAGAAAGGTTGGTGTCGGGGGTGGTGGTAAGACACTGGTTATCATGGAGACTACTCATGGTCACAGAATGTCATTCTAGAAAGTGTGGGTAGGGATGCCCTGCAGCCCTTCTAGGGAGGAGGCCATTTATCAAGTGAAAGACCATCAGGAACAAGCCCAACATTGGGGCCAGACAGCCTGGGGTCAGATCTGCCACCTGTTGATCACTGGCTGTCTGACTCAAGGTAAAATCTGTGGCTTCAGAGCCAAACATGGGAAGCTTAGCCTTGCATAACCATGTACTGGGGAGCACCTGCCACAGAGAGGCCCAGTCTTCCATACTGAGCAGACTCTGGTGGGCTCCAGGTCAAACATATCTAACTCCATCCTCCCTGGTACCTTTCATTCACCACCTGGGGTTCTTTTCTGCATCATTATTATTAAATTAAGAATTATCTGGCATAGATGTGACCTTGGATAAACTGTTAAAGCTCTGTGAACTTGAGGGATATCATCTACAAAAGGAGTAGATCATGCCAGCATCTTTCCTGTGGAGATGCAGAGATGAGATGAGGTAATATGTGTAAGCCTGAGCCCAGCCCTGGCCAGATTAGGTGGGGGTGTATGTTGTTCACCTGGAATTACGAAGCATTTGTGTTCATATAGATGTAGACTTGATCTTGTACTCATTAAGTCAGTTCTCAAAGCCTTGCAGTTGAAGAAAGCAAGGCCAGCAAGGTCACTGCTGCAACAAGGGGTGAGCATGCCTAGTGAGCCCACATACTCTCTGAAGCCCCAGGATGGAGGTACACAGTTTGTCTCTATTTTCATAGAATAGGGATAGGACAGGTAACAATGGAGCACAGGGGATTAGCCCTGAAAAGGACCCGGAGACAGTCCTTCAGAGGCAGAGGATGGGACTGTTCACAGTGACAGTGGTTGGTGCCTCCCATCTGCCAGCCAATGCCATTCTCACTGTTATCTCCTTCTCCCAGCCCCATCAGAACTAAGCCCAGGGTTTGGGAGACAGAGAGTGGAACAGACAATCTGGGAGGTTATTCTGGACAAGTCTGGGACTGTTTGGAAAACCTAGCAATCTTGTTTGGAACCATTTGAAAGCCACAGGTATATGTCCCAGCTCTACTGGCTTTGTGCTGTGGTGCATGTCACTTTACCTCTCTGAGCATAGTTTCTTGTGCGTACAATTGGGAGATGAAGATTCAGTGAGATAAGGTGGATTTTGTGCCTGGCATAGGTCCTGGCAGTTTAGTTTTTCAACTCCTCCCTTTATTCACTGAAGTTGTTTCACACCCAGCCCCTCAGAAGTGACTGCTTCCTGACCCAATGACCCAGCTAAGAGGAGGTGTGAGCCTGGGCAGAAATCCCTCACCTTATGGATGAGGCACAAAAATAGCAGGCTTCAGTTCTGGTTCCGGAAAGTATCAGTACTAGCCTGCTCCAAGATGGTAGCCTCTGCTGTCTCAGTGGGGTGGCACTTATTCCTGACAACAAATGCATCAGTACCTGCAGCCCTTGTTGCAGTGGAACTGTGTTCCTGGCCTGCCACCAGGCAGCAGAGCTTGTGTTCCCAGTACAAGCTGTACCGGTAAGGTCCAAATACTGAGTCTGTGATCTGGGCAAGGGACTGAACTTGCCCATGACTCAATGTTTTTCACTTCTAAAATGGGGCTAATACTTCTTCTTTTCTTATAAGTTTTTTTAAAAATGATCTGAGATATGTCAAGTGCTTAAAACAGTGCCTGACACATGTAAGTGTCAATAATTTATTAGCCCCTACTATTATTACTCCAGCCACCCTTCCCTCCTTTCCATTGCTCCTTGAAGTACGTTTTGTTCCCTGGTAAGTCTACATCAGTGGAGAGAGCCTCTGAGCCTGACCTAAGGATTACGATTAGATATTCCTGCCCCAAATGACCTATATTTAAATTTAAGCTTTCTATCTGCCTGTGTGATATTGGTCAAGTTACTTAACTTCTCTCAGCCCAATTTCTTCATTTCTAAAGTGAGTGTAATAATACATACCCATTTGTCAACAATGCCAAAAGTCATGTTTATTCCACTTCTCTCAAGTCTTTCCTCAGAAGGTGACAAGTGCTGTAAGCTCAAATGACACAATGATGCATAGACTGTCGGCCTTGCCCAGTGAAGTTCAGGAGCTGGTGGGGAATATAGGTGTTAGCAGAAGAATATGGACATCAGGACAGGTGGACCGATGGAGTGACAAAGGGCTGGGAGTATTCTTCCAGAGCCCTAAGGCACAACACTCACCCAGCAGGGAAGGAGCTCTGGGCAGGGGCCAGTGAAGTCTTCACAGAGCAGGTGAGGCCCCAAACATAGTCCGAAAGAGCAGGTGGTGTTTAGGCAGGTGTAGAAGTAAAGCACTCCACTCTGTACCTGGAACTGTGAGGACTTTGTTTTCAGGGAGGAAATAAAGTGAAGACAGAGGCAGGAGATGGAAATGGACCAGTAGGCTACAGCTAAGCCATCAAGAGCCTTAAGTGTTATCAGTTTCCTGTAGGCAGTGGGGGACTATACAATGTGCATACAGTTAGGGGGATGGGAGAGAAGAGGAGGAGGGAAAGGGAGCAAGAGAGAGAAGGAGAAAAAGAAGGGAAGGAAAGACTTAAGGGGAGGGGAGAGGACAGTGAAGAGAAGAAAGAGATTTTAAAAGACATACATACTTACCGGGGAAAAATCTAGAAATTATAGAAAGTCACAATCAAGAAAAGAAGTCTAAAAATCAAAATAAATGAACAAACAAAACAAAAACAGACTCATAAATACAGAGAATGAACTGTTGGCTGCCAGATGAAAAGAGTTGGGGAGCTGGGTGAAAAAGATGAAGGAATTAAGAAGCATAAATTGGCAGTTGCAAAATAGTCACTGGGATGTAAAGTACAGCATGGGGAATGTAGTCAATAATATTGTAATAACTATGTATGGTGTCAGGTGGGTACTAGATTTATTGTGGAGATCATTTTGTAAGTTATATAAGTGTCTAACCACTATGCTGTACACTTGAAACTAATATAATATTGAATATCAACTATAATTGAAAAATTATAAAAAAATTTTAAAAAGAAGGAAGTCATCCTTAATCACACACCCAAATATAACCAGAGTTAATATTTTGGTGGAATATATCTCATTTTAATAAGATCATATTTTCAACACACAGGTAAAATATTTGAAGTTATCTTTTTTTTTTTTTTTTTTTACTAGTCACCCTGGTCTCATGCTTATTGGCCATTTGCAATTTTTCTTGTGGAAATCGCTTCCTGTTGTTGGGGTTCTTGTCTTTTTTTTTCTGATTTGTGGAGTTACTTTATGTAGTAAGGACATTAACCCTTTATTTCCTCGTGAAGTATGAGTGTGATATGAGGGCTGATGGTGCTCTGGGGTCATGGTGCCTTAAATGCAACAGTAGTTCGTGGTGCCACATGACCAGTGTATTCTAAGCATGTGCAGGGAGTTAAGCACCATGCTGTGAGCTCCACAGAGATAATAAATTATTCTGCCTGATTTACAGATGAGGAAACTGAGGCACAGACAGGTTCCATGGCTTGCCTAAGGTAGCAGAGCTAGTAAGTGATGCAAGCAGGATTTAAACCCTGACTCTGGGGCCTGAATGTTAGTTCATGTTAGTTCTTTTCGCTTCTCCACAGCACCACTGGCTAGCCCACTGCTTCCTTCCTCCAGCTTATGTTGGTGCTTACTTCTTCAGCTCAGCATTCTCACTCTGGTCACCCTGATGATTGTTGCAAGGACAATGGATGATGGGACAAAACTCCAGGTGGCGTGGGTTCTGCTTTTATAGGGCCATCTGAGCATCTTCTTGGCCTGATGGTTAAACATCAGGGTACCTGGGGAAACCCTGGGGCTAGGAGGTCCCTTCCCTACCTCTTCCCCTCTAGTCCCATTTCCACCGAGTTGAGAAGGAGGCTGGTTACCCAGCAAAGCAAACCTGTTTAGGGTTCTGAGATTTTCAAAGACCCATAAAGAGAGCAACTTATCTAAATAAGGTGAGTCTTTTCTTTCTTGGAGAGTCACAACCACAAACATTCAAATAATGACTTGTGCTTGCAAAAACATTTTGCACTTCACAGCACATTATCACTGTTAGGCACCTCATGGATCTATCTAAGGGTTTGGCTTGGGGTCAGATAGATCTGAGTGCACACTGTGGCTCTGTCCTTATTAGCTGAGTCATCTGAGGCTCCATCTTTTTGTCCACAGAATGAGTGACCCATCCTGCTCCCTCACTGAATGCAAGGAATTAAACATGCATATGTGCTTGGAGCTTGGAGCTCCATAATGGTAAACAATAGCATTCTTGTTTTAAAGATGAGAAAACTGAGGCTTAAGAGGAAGTAACTGGACAAAGATCCTATAGCCCAGTGTCTCCAGTTGGATTTGCATTATCAATTGTATCTTTCTGAACTGCTTTCAGGATATGTTTGCTGAGCGCCAGGGCAGCAGGCCAGAAACCCCCAATTTACTAACTAAAGCAGACAAATCTAGCAAAGACCCCACTCTTCTCCCATTATTCAACATGTATTTCTGAGCGCTGACTGTCACTCAGGCCTTGTGCTGGGGTCTAGAGATACAGCAGCAATAAACAAAGCTGGCAGATTCCTTACTCTCTTGGAGTTTGTGTTCTAGGGAAAGGGAAACACAAACAAAGAAATATATATTAAGATGTTGGGAAATGACATAAAGACAAATGAAGCAGGAGACAGACAGAATGGTGGGGCTGCTCTTTCTAGCCATGAGAGCCAAAGATACCCTTTATTGGAGATGCCATTTGAGCAGAGACCTGAAGTGGCGGTGCCTGGAGGAAAAATGATGATGCCAGAAGGAACAGCTGAGGCAGAGCCCCGAGAAGGTTCATATTGGAAGGAGAAAAAGGTGAGGGTGACTGGGGCAGAGGATGGAGATAGTGGTAGGAGATGAAGTTGGAGAGATAAGCAGGGCAAATCAAGTATGGCCTCTGCAAGCGGTTGTGTTTTATTTTAGGACAATGGAGGGCTCTGAGTGAGGTGGTGACTTGTGAGTGAGTATGTGTACCAGTATTCAGGGACTCACGTGACAGTACTGTCAGCTGTGACTACACTACAGATGGGCATTACCATGATTATCTGTCTGTCGCATCCCTAAGCTGGGCCCCTCTGGGATAACTCTGATCACCTTTGCTAGGACCTTGGTCAGCCCAGTGCTTAGCCCATAGTAGGAGTTTCCTCAACGTTTATTAGAAAAAGGGAGGGAAACCAAAAAGGAAGGAAGAAAGGAAAAGAAAGAGAGAGGGAAGAAAGAAAGGAGGGAGAGAGAAGAGGAAGATCTTTTCTCACTGACTATGAGACATGAGCCACAGGCATCAGCAGGGTTCATAAGAAATAGAGACTTCTCATTGGGATTTCTTCTTGGAGGCCTAAGCTCATCCAAGCTGGGAAATTTCAGGCAGGTGCCCCTTCTCTCAGCCACATCCTAGAGCTCTGTGCATTACATGCCCGCAGGGCCAGCCTGTGGCCCTTCATGTGCTGGAGATAGGGGTGACCCATCTCCAACTGAACAGTCCCCAGCAGGGAGGATCTTTATGCAGCAGGCTGCCTAGTGAGCGAGGAGATCCCTTTGGCCAAAGGTGTTTAAGCCAAACAGAGGAAGGACTTCTGCCCTGAGTGCAATCTGTGGAGCAAGAAGATTCTTCACTCTCTAACTTTATGATCATGCTTTCTGTGATTCTACATCCCAAGGGCGGGTCAGCATTTGCTGTACCCTGTGCAGAAATAACCTTCAGAAAAAGCCTCTTGCCACCAGCTAAACAGTCTTCCCAGCACCTTCCTTTAGGCCACATGTACCTCAGGCCAAAGTTGCTGTTCCTGCCATGGTGGTCACAGTTGTCCTTTATACCCCATCTGGTCTTTTATCTTGTCACTGGAAGAGGGGCTGAAGTGCTTTTCTCTGGGAACTGCATATTTGTTCCTCAGGTCACCCCTTTCCTCCTTGCCAAGGGCTATAGGTTTCCAGTCCAGAGATACTTGCTTGCATCCTGCTGCAATGGGACAGTTCTTTGTCCTAGCTTTTCTCCAGTGTTCTCTAGCAGAACAATAGAGTTAAGTCTTGAACTGGATAAAAGAAAAACATTTTTATCTGCTGTGTTAGCTGTGCCACAACTCTGATATTTGGATCGTTCAGTAGGAGATGCCCGAGCTGGTGCAGGAGGAGCTTGCTCTACCAGCCATGGTCCTTTGATGAAAGAAGTAGGGAACCACATGTGGGGGGCTCCTCCTTTGTGACTGGCACATTACATATGCTATTTATTTAGTCCTTTAAACAATTACATGAGAGAGAGAGAGATACTATTGTCTTCCTGAAGTGGATGAAGAAAGTGAGACCCAGAATGCTGTGTGGCCCAGTTGTGGCCTGGGGCCCAGTTCCTCCCGCCTTTCCTAGCATGGGGGGTGGGAGGGCTGTGGTTTTTGGTGAACTTTACTCCACCCACAGGTCAATCCAGATGTTTGCAGGTACACAGCCACTTTTCTGAAAGTTAGAATCCCCTGGGATTCTGGGTAATACATGAATTCCTGGGCCCATTGTCCTAGACCCTCTGGGCTGAGTCCAGAAGAGGAGGGCCATGGGCCATATCCAGGAGGTTTGGTAATTCCGGGCTCCACACCATGACACTCAGGCTGCAGTGTTTCGGGAAGCCACGTTTAAGTGTGTATTAAGTCTATGCAGTGCTCCTTATGTGTGGAGCAGGCCGTACCACACTGAGGAGTGTGGAGGGGCCTCCATACCTCTCTGTAAGTTTGTTCTGAGAATTAGATATGGCAGGGTCTTTAGAGTGTCACATAAGCCTTGACTGGCGTTTACTGAGTTCTCCATAGATGTGTTTTTTCCTTCCTCTCTCTCATAATCCCTTAAGAGTGTGTGAATTATGCCTCCTTCTCAATAGAAACAATTAACCTTAAACTGAAGATTTTGGTTAAAACAAAAAAAAATTTCAGCTGATCCTGTGGTTGTAGGTATCAGAATCTGTTGCCCCAGCATATGCACTTTGGAGATCCCAGCATCCCCACACGCATACACACTCCTGCCTTCTGAAGCTCCGTTTCTCTCCCAGTTTTGCCCAGCAGACTGACACTGGCAGCAGGACACAGAGCAGCAGGACATAGAGCAGCAGGACAGAGTCAGGCTACCCGGCAGTTCTGGTCTCCTGCTAGTCTGCAGCATCACAAGAAGGCCTAGAAACCACTCTTCTCTCTCATACGAACCCTAGAGAGGACTTGGACATTCAGAGAACTTATGCTGCCAGGCTAGACAGCTTCTTGGGGCTGCAGATCAGGGGGTTTGGCCCCAGGGCCCTGGGATACACTTGATAGAGCCAGGAGAGAAGGAAGGGTTGGTTGACAGCCCCAGGGATGCAGGGACTCAAGTATTCTCACGCTGAGGATATGATGTTTGAGGGATCCTGGTCCTTATCATGATTTGGGCCTCTGGAGAGCAACCTGGATATTGGAAATTTTGTTGAGTGACCTTGTACAATCCTGATTTCTTTGTAAAATCTTTTCTTTTCTTTTTTTTTCTTTTCTTTTTTTTTTTGTAAAACAAGCTTAAAAGAGGTTGGGCAGAACAAATAGCAGACATCCAAATGGCCATGTTCTTATGCCAGTTTTTCTCAGAAGACACTTAGAATGCAGGGAAAGAATGAGGCAGTCTATTTATTTCCCCTCATTTGGAAGAATGGCTGCATTTAGTGTTTGTAAAATAGAGAAGATGACTGTGAAAATACGGAAGGAGCTGCTGTCAGGAGCACTTGGACCTAAACTATCCCTAATACCTGATTCCACCTTATCTCATTAATGAAGGTGTCAGAGATAATTTGTTCATTTGTTCACTAAGAGACATTGGAGTGTGGATGTATGCGAGAGGTCAGACAGGAGTTTTAGGGTCCAGCAGGCCTGAGCACCCACCCTGTTTGCTGCTACATTTTCTTTTTTTCAAGGGAATATTGATAATCTCCAACCTCTCTGACCTTAATTCCTCATTTATTCATTGAGGTTGACAACTGGCGCCCTCGTGAGTTTCATGTCAGAATTACATGAGATGAGGACAGCCTGGCCGACCTGTAAATGCTCCCTAAATGAGTGTACTTCTTCTGTCCCAGCTCTGGGAGGAAGACCCTATGAGTATGCAGGCCTATGAAGGAGAGAACCTAATAGGCTGTGATCTGTCTTCCTCTCACAGAAATGATCAACCAGAAAGCAGTGTATTTCTTCAACTTGACTTCCATGCAGAACTCGGAAATGATCCTCACAGCCACATTCCACTTCTACTCAGAGCCAAGGTGGCCCCAGGCACGTGAGGTACCATGCAAGCAGCAGGCCAAGAATGCATCCTGCCGCCTGCTGCCCCCAGGCCCGCCCTCACGCCAGCACTTGCTCTTCCGCAGCCTCTCACAGAACACAGCCACACAGGGGCTGCTCCGAGGGGCCATGGCCCTGGCGCCTCCACCACGGGGCCTGTGGCAGGCCAAGGACATCTCCTCCATGGTCAAGGCAGCCCGCCGGGATGGTGAGCTGCTCCTTTCTGCCCAGCTGGATTCTGGGGAGAAGGACCATGGGGTGCCCAGGCCCAGCCCCCATGCACCCTACATCCTCATCTATGCCAACGACCTGGCCATCTCAGAACCTAATAGTGTGGCAGTGACACTACAAAGATATGACCCCTTCCAGGCTGGAGACCCAGACCCTGGCACAGCCCCCAACAGCTCCGCAGACCCCCGTGTGCGGCGGGCCACACAGGCCACTGGGCCCCTGCAGGACAATGAGCTGCCTGGGCTGGATGAGAGGCCAGCACAAGCCTCTCACACCCAGCACTACCACAAGCAAGAGCTGTGGCCCAGCGCCTTCCGGGCCCTGAAGCCCCGGGCAGGGCGCAAGGACCGCAGGAAGAAGGGCCAGGATTTGTTCATGGCCTCATCGCAAATGCTGCACTTCGATGAAAAGACGATGCAAAAAGCCCGGAGGAAGCAGTGGGACGAGCCAAGGGTCTGTTCCCGGAGATATCTGAAAGTGGACTTTGCAGACATTGGGTGGAATGAATGGATCATCTCGCCCAAATCCTTCGATGCCTACTACTGTGCAGGAGCTTGCGAGTTCCCAATGCCCAAGGTAGGTTGTGTTCTGCCCGTTGTCTAATCGACTGTCAGCTCTACCCCTACTGGCAAGTCCTTCTGCCTTGTGACCTCTGTTTCCTGTCTGTAAAATTGAGATAACAGCTCTCATCTATTGGAGGTGGGAGATAGATAGACTGAGGTCCCAACGTGGCCACCTCTTGGGTGGGTAAAGCCTACAGACAGACGTGGTTGATCTATGCTTTTGAAAGTGTTGATTTGGTTGAATTTAAATTTTAAATCAGAACATTTCTTCCTTTGGAAAGAGGAGAATGCATCTCCTTAGGTATGTATTCCCACAAAGCAACAGTCTACAGAGGAAGAGGAGATGCTGCACCCCTGCAGACAAGACAGGTCTCTGAAGCACCCTCCTTGCGAAGGCTTTGTTTCTGTTCTTGGCCTGAAGCTCAGAGCATTAGTATCTGTGACCAGCTCAGAGCTGGTCTCAGAGGCTTCCCAGTGAGGACTCCCACCTCCCTTCCCCTACTCAGGGCAGGGACCCACAGGACAACTAGCTCTCACTGTGCACGAGCTGCAGAACACACAGCATGGGGCTGTTTTAGCCATTGTGCTGGAAATGTATTCAGATTCTCACCTTCCCTCCAGGCTGAGTTGTAGCTCTGTCTATCCATCTCCCCACTGCCTGAACTGTGGCAGGCTGGCTGCCAGCTGATGTCGACCCTCAGCACACAATACACACTTTCCTCTTGCTTAGCTCCTCTGCTGAGTTCTGGGTCATGCCTTCTCCTTCAAGAAAGGAAGTCAGTGCATGAATCCAATTTTAACCTTAATAAATCAGCCAGCTGGGAAATCCCAGACCCAGATGGGGCAGCATTACTCCATTTGGGAATTAAGGGCTTTTCCTCAAAGCCATACATGTGCAAGAGAGAAGAAGGGAGGTACCCTACAGAGACAGACATCTGCTGGAAGGGCCTAGCGGATTCAGGAGGAGTACTCAACAGGCCTCAGCTGGCTGACCCGACACTTACCTTGTCAGCCTGGCTGGCTGCCTTCTTACCTTTCCTGACACCAGACTGAGTCTTGCAAATCAGATGTCCCTGCCTCTCTCTCCACCTTGTTCCCCACAAAGGAGGCTTTTCTTTTCAACACACTACAAAACTCTTTTTGGTTGGCGATGAGCTGAAATGCATGTGGCTTGGTCCTGTTCTTCTTGTTAGGGGTGCTTAAGGAATGGCATTTTGTGTGTTTGCCACTGGGACACAGACAGACACTTCCGGATGTGAGATGGAGGGGAAGAGAGCAGGTGTGGCCCCAGCAGGCGTGGTTTCCAAGCCTGGCTACCCTAACTGAGAGGTCTTGGTCAAGTTGCTTATTAATTTTAAGCTTCAGTTTCTTCACCATTAAAATTAAAGTAATACTCATCCCATAGAATGGTATGATGACAAAATAGGATGATGCAAGTGAAGCAGCATCTGACACCCTCAGTCAGACATCCAGAAAATGTCAGTTTCCAGCAGCATCACACCAAACAACATAAGCATGAAAGTCTTTCCCTTTGGTGCTAAGTACAGGATCACAAGAAAGCATGTTTGTACTCCTCAGACTGTGAAACCTGGGCAGCTGTAGCCCCAGGCAGAACCTGCCGGGTAGCTGAGGGAGCTCCAAAGTGTTTAGAGAGCTCTAAACACTCCAGCCCAGTTCCAGGTGCTCCTTGGGTCTGTGTGCCCCCTAGTGGTCAGTGCCATTTAGGGATTGTGACTTCCCTCTCCGAGGCCCGAGGGGCAGGAAGGCCTGAGGCTCTTGCAAACCTCCCAGGAACTCAGTCTGTTGGCTGACTTGGGAGGAAAGGAGTACCAGCCCTGGTATCTCACCTTTTATTCCTTTCCAAAGCCTGAGTCAAAGACATGCAGATGGCACAGTACCAAGGTAACTAGTGTCCTTTCCCGCCTTGCAGATTGTTCGCCCATCCAATCATGCCACCATCCAGAGCATTGTCAGAGCTGTAGGAATCGTTCCAGGCATCCCAGAGCCTTGCTGCGTTCCCGACAAGATGAACTCCCTTGGGGTTCTCTTCCTGGATGAGAACCGGAACGTGGTTCTGAAGGTGTACCCCAACATGTCTGTGGAAACCTGTGCCTGCCGATAAAACCAGCTGCTCCAGGGTAGAAGGAAATCTCTAACCTACTTCACACACAGTACCATCTTCAGAGCCTCTGGAGAGAGAGATTGAGTAGAGGTGCAGCTGCAAACGAAGGGCAGAACTCAAAGGCAACCTTGGGTCCAGGAGGATCTGTCCCCTAGAGCAGCAATCCCCAACCTTTTGGGCACCAGGGATCAGTGCTCCTATGGGAATCTAATGCCTGATGATCTGAAGTGAGGCTGAGGCAGTGATGCTAGTGCTGGAGAGCGGCTGCAAATACAGATGAAGCTTCACTAGTTTGCCCACCTCTCACCTCCTGCTGTGTGGCCCCGGTTCCTAGCAGACCACGGAATGGTACCGGTCCACAGCCCGGGGATTGGGGACCCCTTCTCTAGAGCATCATTCTGGGGTTTTCATTGCTAGTGAGCAAGTCCCTAAAATGCCAGTCTGAATTCCCTAAAGGATTCTGGAAATTAGCCCTGGGAAGCCTGCTCATCTGCTCTGAAGGCCTGAAAACTGAACAGGTCCACATTTTTGGCTTTTGTGATCATCATCTCACAGCCTGCGAAGAAGACTGCATATTTGAGGGCGTTTGCTCTTTCACGTGAAAAGAACTTCGTTTAAATAGTTTCAAACATTTCAGGCCACATATTGATACAGGGCCTAGATAATTGTATAAATAGATGTTTTCTTTCAAACTCTACTGCAAAAGCTTTTATACATACACTATGCATATATAACCAATTTTGATTTCTTTTCTTATATATATTTTATTTTAAAACAAAAGGAAGGAGTTGAAAACATTCCCACAGAGGTAATCATGCTGGTTGTGTGCACTGTTTAAACATGCTGATGGAAATAACATATGCAGTATTATGTTGGAACACTAAAAATAACCAAGATGTTTATATTTTTGTAAATTATACTTTCTATACTGTAGATGGTTTATGTTGTGTGCTTTTATGGAAAACTAATAAATTAAAAGTCATCCATTCCAAAATATTGATGGATCTCCATCTGTAAGCATGACATCCAGGGTGCTGCTGGGGACACAGTCCCCTTTGGGATCAACTGAGTCCCCTCTAGTCCTTCTCCACACTCTCTTATCTCTGTCAGTCTCCAGAAACTGGCTGCTCCTATGCCTGCCCACCCACTCTGGCCTATAGCTCTTAACGCTGGGCTCATCCAGGCAGGACTTGGCTCAGGCAACACAGTAGCCTTGCAGAGCTTCTTTACATTCTTAGCCTCAGAGAAGAAAGACATTGAGTAATTGGGAGAGGCCTGAAACATCAAAGGAACATCTGTGGTTGCCTGGTCACGGACCTCTTACTTGGGGTAGTTCAAGCAAGAGACTCAACATAAGCAGCCAGGGGTCTCTTCCAAGGTCCAGCGGCTCCTATAGGAATGGACTGTCTGTTTCTCCCTGTGCATATTTGTAGAAGGACTGCCCCGCTTCCTTGTCAGTGGCTTGTCCCAAAAGAGCCTCCTCCAAATGGCTCCCTTATCTCTGAGTTGCATCACCGTATGGCTGTAGTGCCTGAAGCTGATTGACCAGCATTCCTGAAGGAGAAGCTAGGTGCAATTTGTGGCAGGCATCTAACAGTCTTTTGGCTGTGACCTGAGAAGATGACAAGGCCTTCAGTCTTACGTGGAGGAGATCAAGAAGCCATGAGCAGTCCTCCAAGAAGGGACTTAGAGGAGAAAAGTAGACTGAGGTGTCCGTCTTAGGTTGGGCTCCAGAGACCAGGGTTCCTGCACAAGATACTTATGAGGAAGTGCTCCCAAGAGAAACAGGTATGGAGTGGGTAAAGCAGGACTGGAAGGCAAGAAGCCAAGCATCCCAGACTCGTCTGGACTCTGTGGGGAGCTCTGGAGTTTAATTATACCTTAGAATCAATCTGGCTTTGACAAGGGAGCTGGATGTTCAGACCCTTCCCCAGGCTGATCCCAGGTAGGGCTGGGCAGGGAGAAATGGAAACTCCCAGGCCTCTGACCCTCTACACAGGCAACCACTGTAGCTCCAGATACACTGACAACCTCTGAAGAAGGCTGCAGGGGCAGCTACTGGAGACAAAGTGACCGACAAGAGAGATTGCCCAGAACAGATAGGTAGAGGGGTCTGAGGGCACCTGGGTAAGAGTCCAGCAGCATCTGCTCAGCATCTCCTTTGAGATGCTCCAAATGATCCTGGCACATGTGTGTGACAGCTGCCCTGGACACATAGCCCTGCTTCTTGGCAGAGATCGGGTGAGTCAAGGGGGGTGGTCCTTATTCCTGCAGGAATTGTAGTAGTACTTAATGATTTATTTCAAGTTTCTGTGGCTTGCTGGGATGTCTCAAATGGGTCTGCAAACTTAGTGGTTGACTTGCCATATCTAATCCTTTTTGGAAGATGACAGGATGTAAGTTAATAGCAAAATAAGTAAAAAATATTGGTGCTTGATAAGGCTCCAAACGCCTTTCTTCTCAATATCAGATTCTTCATTTTCCTTTCTCCCCTTCAATTTTTTCTCATTAAACTACTTGCTTTCCATTTCTTGATGAAAATGAGATGTTCTGTAATATTTATATTTTATTATTTTTAGTATTTGCAGTTTCTGAGAGATCTTCTGAGTCATGGCCAAAGTCTAGAACTCCTTTGTTTTATTTATAGATTATGGAGGTTGCGGGAGCAGGCTGGGAGGGTCACCCCTGAGTCTAGCCATGATTTCATGGGACTTCATGATCGTACCAGGGTGAATGGTACCCAGTGGTGATGACTTTAGGGTGGGTGGAAGGAGTTAGTGTCATCAGAGACCCCTTACGTTTTTGGAGCACCATGAAATTTAGACTTGGACTCTCATTTAGCTTCAAAACAACTTTGCAACATACTACCCAATTGCTGTTTCAGAAAAGCAAGTTCAGGATAGGTAAGTAATAAGGCCATCCATGTCTTATCAACTTTGACACAAAAGGCTTCCTGATTCAAGACCTATGTGGCTTGTGCTGCCCCTCAGCTTCCTGGCCAGTGATCCCATTATCAGCCTATTAGGGTTGTCCCAATGGCACTGAGTGACCTCACAGTAAAGCAAGGTTTAAAAAGAAATGTATGTATGAAACAATTTCTTTTCTTCTTAAGACCAAAATATAAGCATCGTATTGTCACAGGAGTAAGAGGTTCTAGTACACAGCTCAGATGTGCACAGATCCCTGAGGTCATCCAACTGGGTCTGTGTTAGTCTATAGGGAGCAGTGTGATGGCCTGCCACCAGGCCCTATTTGTGAAGTTATACATCCTCTGAAAGGGCTGGGCCTTATAGATTAGTTCATGTGACAAATATAAGCAGTACAAATGAAAACTAGAAAATTTAAGGTTGAGAGAAAACTTTGGAAAGTGATACAACCATTTTACTGAAAAAGTAGGGAAACTGAGTCCAGGTACTACCAGTTACCTTGCCTGGGATGTCCCAATAGGTCCCTCTTTGTGTCTAATTCACTCATAAAATGTCATCAGAGCTGTAGTCTATCACTAGTGCTTCTTCTGTGGCCAGGTTGGAGACAGAGCTGTACTGGTGGAGCCTAAAGAAATCGCGTGGGGGAGGAGAGTGTAAGGAGAGGAGTCCAGAGAAAGAGGAATGAAGATGGCTTCACAAGGATGGAAGAACTGGACTTGGCTGGTGGCATAAAGACATTGCAGGCATCAGCTTGTGCAAATGCATTTGATGGCACCACATGCCTAAAAGTGCTGGAGGGAGTTCCAGGGGGAAGAGGGCAGAATCAGCTTGCCAGCTCTGGATATAAATTGTGTACCAAATCATTGATGTTACAATTCAAGGCTCTTTTCTTTTACCAAAGCTGGAAACAAAATTCTTTACTGATAATGTGATACTTCTGAGATTTCCATTACTCTTCTCTCTTCTCCCTGAGATAACGATGCTCATTTAAGCTGCAGTTCACTTTTTTTCCATACTCAGGTCTAAGTCAATTCTAAATTCCCCCAATGTCTCCCAGCAGTCCTGTTTATATGAGTAGGGGGTAGATGAGCAGAAGAATAGATTTGTTTATTTATTCAATTATTTAGCATCTGCTATGTGCCAAATACCATGCTAGGTAACATCTACATATTTTATCTCTTGGCAGGCTCATATGAATTTCTTCTTTTATCAAAACCAATGTGCAAAGTTGAACGTTCATCAGAATCACCTGGAGGGCTTGACCAGATTTATCAATCTGACTCAGGTCAAGACTTGTATTTCTAACCAGTTCCCAGATGCTAATGCTGCAGGTGGTGATCCAGAGGCCATGCTTTAAGAACCTCTATTCTAATAAATGTGCTAGCCTCCTGGGCATAGTCCCAAGACAGGGAGTTCACATTGGCTGAATACCTTCCCTGTGCCAAACGGAAGCAGGATCTCAGGCAGGGTAGGCTTGGAGCTGGAAAGTGACCTACCCCTCTGTTCTTGGCTCACACTCTCTCCTTACAGAATCAAGGTGGGTCCAGTTTTCATTCCTCTGAACAACCTATGAGTGAGTGTGGAGGAGCTTGAAAAGCTCACAGAGGGATGAGTGTCCTTGTAGTCATGTTTCCTGGAATGGAAGGGGTTCCATGCCATATCACCGAAATTCAAGTAGATTCTGTCCCACCTCCATAAATGAAGGCTAAGGTCAGTGCCTGCTGGAGGGATGAGTTTCAGTGATCCTTGAAATAAATGAATGAGTCAGATCTGCCTCTCTTGATTATTAAATCATGCTTCTACCATAGCAATTGCATGTGATGATTCTATTTCTGTAATTTGCAAGTCCTGGGAGAGATGATGCTTACAACAGTTTTGATTAAAAATCACCACAGCATAGAAATGCCTAACTGTCTGGGGGCAAGGATGAGCCAGGGGCCACCAGAGCCAGCCTGACCAAAATACCCCATGGATCACCCCGAGGTGTTAAATGACATATGCAGAGATGAGTAGAACTTATGCCCAGCAGGGGCCTCAACTCCACTGTGAACACGGGACTGGCTCAGTGGGCAT